GTAATGATGACATCATTGACATATCATCATGACTGATCAAAGTACTAGTCATTAGCCATTAAAATTAGCCATTAGCCATTAAAAAAATTTCAAGGAGAGTAGGAAGGATTAAACCAATTCAAAGTGAAATTTTGCGGTGCCCCACACTGAGAGGCTGAATGTATAGCGAAAAAGCGCTGTAATCACAGTATAGTTTTTAATGAATTTACTATATTCATGAGGGAATATAGAATATATAGTGAGGGAAAACTATCCGCGTTCTCAGCTCTGCCATCCGTGGCCTTAAAACGAGAGGACAACTGAATAAGTGGATATACGGTTTAGCACAATGCATTCAACCATGGTGTACTCGTAGTCTGGATTATGCGGTTGCCAGAAGTGTTGGCCAGTGTTGCCAGAAGAGTTGACACAGTTACGTGTCGAAATTCAAGTGTACTTATCTTGGGCAAAACGAAACTTTTAGTGAAGGACAACAATAATACAAATAAACTGTATAGTAACAGATTTAAAAAGAAAAAAGGGACAATACTGTCAAATAAATTGTGCCCGGCCAATTCATTTAAAAAATATAACTCAGTACTCACTGCAGTGAGTGACAAAGAGCGCATTTTCTCGTCGACGAAAACTTGAGGTCACGGACGGACGGACGGACAGACAGACAGACAGACGGACGGACGGACATGGCGAGCACAATAGTGTATTTTTTCCATAAATGAGAAAATGCGCTAAAAAGGCCTCGTATGCGTAATTTGGCCGTCAAAAGGCCCATCTGGCAACCCTGGCCGCAGTTGGGAATGGCGTCAACCGTTAGCAGATAGAGCTTTGCTTATCAAAATTTCAATGTTTAACAGAGAGTATAGAGACTTTATTGTATAGATATACGTTTTGTTGCTTCAGGCTAAGAGTGCGGTTGGTAATTAAATGACGACGTCATTACTATTAAAATTACGGTGGCTTTATAGCATATGTACTTACTTACATATAAAGTGATAATTTTATTAAGTAATGGAGAATTGCTTCAAAATATACTGAAAAATTGATCTAGCCATTCAGCTCAAGATGATGTGAAAACGCTGCATGTACGTATGTAAATTTAGCGATAACTGTAATTAAACTGAGCACCACAGTTCCAATGTCTTTTAACATCTGCCATTTGATTGATATATCTTAGTCTCGAAAATTATTTCCAGAGTCTCCTATTGACTCTGCAATTTCTGAAGAACACTTCGATTCTAATTCATATTCTTAATTTACTGAAAGAGTTACATTAATGTACTAATTTAGGTTATGCGCATGGTTGAACTAATATTAGTGCAACCATGGGTTATGCATACTGCTGTTAGGGAACGCCGTGCTGTTGAATTTTCGATTAAGTGCTAGGTTATTGGCATTTTTAATTTCGGTTATGAGTCACCCCGTACGTGACCTCGTGAAGACACGCTGCGCTTATTGCTTATTCATTATTTTGCGCTCAGAGGTGCGTGTTGGTATCAAGTCGGTTTATTTTTGTGGTAATTATGTGTCCATATTTTGAGTGGTTTGTATAGGTGACTATGAATCAATATTTTAATTATCTATGCCATGTGAGTGTGATATTCTGATTTGTTGGGTTTAGATTCCATCGTCATTATTTGTGTTTCTGTATGTACAGGGTGTTTCCCGGAAACTTCTTGATTTGAAAGCTCAATAAAAAGGAAATAAATCAGTTATCTTTACAATATAAATTTCATCGAAAAAGACAACCTGAAATTTTTGTATCACTCAGTTTTAGAAATGACATCAGACAAATATGGCCTCCATCGTCAATGCATTCAGTTAGTTGATTTTTGAAGTTCCGTTCAACTCGCTGAAGCATATTGGTGTAAATGTTGGCGATGGCTAGGCGTATGTTGTTCCTCAAATGAGGTAGGCTCCAATTGGACAGTCATTGTTTAAAATTCATTTGAGATAACCCCATAAAAAATCACACGGAGCCAAATCGGGGAATCGGGCCTTCCAAAAAAAAGTCACCTCTCATGGAGATGAGGCGCTTTGCCAAATGTTGTTTCAGGCCATTAAACATTTGGCAAAGCGCAAAAACATTTGGCCCTCTGCAAAAGTACGCCCCGTACGCACCGTAAAAGTTCGCCCCGTACGCACCGTAAAAGTACTCCCCGTACGCACCGTAAAAGTACGCCCCGTACGCACCGTAAAAGTACGCCCCGTATAGCCCATTAGAAAAGTACGCCCCGACAACAAACACAAACTGCTCACTTATCCAATGCACAATGGCAGCTGATTAAACGGGACACAAAAACTTCTTGACCTTGCCTTTCATATGAATTACTTCCCGTTTTTTCTGTATTATCTGGCTGCTCGGTGAAAAATGCAAAACGGGAAAATTCCATGAATCACTTTGTATTTCAAGAAGATCTCCTATAACCGGAGACTATAGATCCCGGTTAAATAGACTAGGGTTTGTTTTAAGAGAATACACGGTTTATTTATATGAATTTTGTTTATTTATTGTTATAGTTCTTCCATTATCATTTTAATTCATTCTCAATTTTCCACTATACCCCCATCGCCGTTTCTTTGCATAGCGACGCCAACGCAGCGTCGTCATTCTGGGAGGTTCAAACCCATGGTTGAATTAATAAATGTATTAATTCAACCATGGTTCAAACCAGCCATCGAATTCGAGGAGCTATACCGTTTGTGTGAACCGCGGGATGAATCCCATCGGTTCGCATTCGTAATTGTTCTTCTGTATTGTAAAATTATTTTCAATCTGCTGGCTGCTTACTGTCCAGGAATTCGAAGTGATTAGTGTTTTGAAATTCGTAGTGATCATCCGTCGAAATGATTATTCGTATGATTATTCGTATACGAAAATGCTTAAACTCACGAAAAGGGACCATTTCTGGTGGTTCCGATTCATTTCCTATTGAATAGTTGGCATTTTATTCCTTTTAATATACGGCAAAAATTTGAAACTACTCAGATGGTTCGTCCAAAATGATGGGCTCAACTGAATACAACGAAAGTGTGAAGATACGTCACGAATCCGTTGGAAAATGACGTGAACTAACGAACGTTGGGGTTAAAGGAAATGTTTAGTAGTAAAAAGGATTTAGTAGGGTGAAGGGAAGGTATTCAAGATATTGCTGAAATTGAGCTCAGGTTTGAAAATGTAGAGAACTTAAAAACCAGGACTATGAAAGCAATTCCCGAAGACATAGGCAGAATGACCCCGAATGACATCGAAGAAGGGATCTAACAGCATTAAACAAAAGGCATAAAAAAGATCGTACTCGAGTAATCAGGAATCACAGTCAAAACTTCTAATTCTAAAATAGCTTCTACACACACACAGGTAATTCTAAATAAAGCTTCTAATTCTAAAATTGAACAAATTCGATGTGCACAATAACTGTGCACTCGATACCTATGCATGAGGAATGTTATGTATGTAAAAGTGGTCTCACGAATACCTATTTGTGTGATGAATGTTGTGTATCTAAAGATAGTCTCTTTCAGAACGGTTTTCCGCGTCCCATTGTTCCCTACCTGCAAACTACGGCCGTATACAATATACCGAGCGTCATTATATAACAAGCGTCATCATATAACAATTAAGCGTCATCATATAACAATTAAGCGTCATCATATAACAATTAGGCGTCATCATATAACAATTAAGCGTCATCATATAACAATTAAGCGTCATCATATAACAATTAGGCGTCATCATATAACAATTAAGCGTCATCATATAACAATTAAGCGTCATCATATAACAATTAGGCGTCATCATATAACAATTAAGCGTCATCATATAACAATTAAGCGTCATCATATAACAATTAGGCGTCATCATATAACAATTAAGCGTCATCATATAACAATTAAGCGTCATCATATAACAATTAGGCGTCATCATATAACAATTAAGCGTCATCATATAACAATTAAGCGTCATCATATAACAATTAGGCGTCATCATATAACAATTAAGCGTCATCATATAACAATTAAGCGTCATCATATAACAATTAGGCGTCATCATATAACAATTAAGCGTCATCATATAACAATTAAGCGTCATCATATAACAATTAGGCGTCATCATATAACAATTAAGCGTCATCATATAACAATTAAGCGTCATCATATAACAATTAGGCGTCATCATATAACAATTAAGCGTCATCATATAACAATTAAGCGTCATCATATAACAATTAGGCGTCATCATATAACAATTAAGCGTCATCATATAACAATTAAGCGTCATCATATAACAATTAGGCNCGCTTTATTTATCCTCGTAGAGTTTTGTTAAGGGACCTAAAACCCACCTCCCTTTGAGGAGCTGTCACAAAGTCATTTTTCGACGCACAGGGACGATACTTATATCGTTCGATGCGCAAGAAAACAACCTTTAAGATGAGATATAAGAAACAGAAAAACTCAAAATATTCAAATTTTAGCTAGGTCGGTCCCCTTAAACTGCAGGAATTTTCGATCCTTGGCAACGCAAGACTAACCTGATAGTATGTGAGTATTGGTATAGTTTGACAGAAGTCGTTCGTTTGTTCATTTATACAAGTTCGATTGAAGACCTCAATATAGTAGTAGTACATGGTAACATAAGTTCGTCAACAAGTCTCATATTGAGAAATTATAAACCAATTACATGATATATTAAATTGAGCTCATTTGTAGATAAAAACATAGTCACTGCCAGAACCAATTTTTCATACACTAATGTGAAGTCAAACATTTCGTCTGTTTTGAATTACGAAAGAACACGTGTGCAAAAATATTAAGCTACTGAGTAAAACTCGAGCACGTCCGAAAGCATGATTATCCTACAGGCAGACACAACAAGTGAGAATAATATTAAAATCACTTGGCTGCTTAAGTCGCAAATTCACCAGGAATTTAAAAGCAAAGAAAATAGCCAAAAATTTCACCATTTCTTATAAGAGAAAACGTTTCGGAGTCCAGCTCCATCGTCAGTTCAAAACTGCTCCTGCTATCGCGGCATCAACATGACCGAAGTTTTGACGCGTGAATTTCGGGTGCTTGAGCACGAAATTCATTAGGTAGGATATCAAGTGCAGGATGTTCACCTGAGAAAATAGAATATAAATAAAGAAACAAAATTTTCTGAGGAATTGTACATCTCTCTGTCAATTTAAATCAATAAATTCTCTGGTCACTAGTCGCACGCGTACAAATCATCAAATTCTGCCATCTTAAACTAATTCTGGTTCTGTTATGTAATATTTAACACTAAATTCGTGACGATACATGACGACTTTTTAAGCTAAACTTTAATCAAAACTTGAAGCCGCCCGAAACCGAACCGCGAATCAAAACGACAGGCCGGATATAAGTGGGAGTATGTCCAAAAATCGGTGCACTTCTTACACGTGTATGGGTCATCCTGGTCGAGTTTGGGGCAGCAAAAGGACTTAATGCTACGTGCTGAAAGTGTTACACCGTTTGGATAGTACGATCCATTAATTTTTCTAGATTTATTATAGTAAAACTCACTTTATTTTCAATTAGGGTTTCAATATACGTCTCAGGGTTGAACTTGGTGATGTTGACCAGTTTGACTCCATGGAGTATCCCGAGGCTGGAAATGACCAGGAACCCCGAGAGATGGTACATGGGCAGCGCCAGCGCAAAGCACGGTGAATCAGCTGGACCAATTTGGGTAGAATTAAGGTACAAAATTAAAGATACCTTGATTTGGGTTTAAACAAAGTGAGTTAAGTCTCTACCAGTGGTTGCCCTAGCATTGAAAGTGCACACAGTGCGTTAAAACAGTGTGCGTTAACACAGACAGTAAAAATAATCAATTTGAGCAGGCACAGCTTTGATACTCCAAACACCTCTGCACGCGTCCATGGTCATTCCTCGTTTAAATCCCCATTGACGAACTACAGGTTAATTCACGGAAACTTCCTGTTATATAATTCGCGTCAACAGCAGATGTTGTAGGAAAAGGGCGGGAGTATTTCATATAAAAATGCAAGGTCATGAAATTTTGTGTCCCGACTAGTCAATTGCCACTTTATGCATTGGACAAGTGAGCAGTGGGCGGTTGCTGTCGAGGCGTACTTTTCTAATGGCTGTTCCATTATCGCTACTCAGCGAGCATTCCGTACTCGGTTCCGAATTCGTCATTCAGGTCGGGTTAATGATCGGAAATAGATTTTTACGTGGATGAACACATTTAGGGCAAGTTATCTTAAATAAATTGTTTACAATGACTGTCCAAGGAGCCTACCTCATTTGAAGAACAACATATGTTAAGCCATCGCCAACATGCCCGTCAATATGCTTCAGCGAGTTGAACGGAACTTCAAAAATCGACTAATTGAATACATTGAAAATGGGGCCGTCATTTGTCCGATGCCATCGTTAAAACTAAATGAAACAAAATTCAAGTAATGTCTTTTTCAATAAAATTTATATTGTAATGATGTCTTTACTAGTTTTTTATTCTTTCAAATCAGGAAGTTTCAGTGAATTACCCTGTGGAAGCAACGCAATTAATCCACCAATGGACAACCCCCCACGAAGTAACTGGGGTGGGACAGCATGTCCAAGTTACAGGTTCACATCACTCAACAATAACAACACCAGAACCCACCTTTGGACAACAACAATAACAACACCAGAACCCACCAATGGACAACCCCCCCACGAAGTAACTGGGGTGGGACAGCATGTCCAAGTTGCAGGTTCACATCACTCAACAATAACAACACCAGAACCCACCTTTGGACAACAACAATAACAACACCAGAACCTACTAGTGGACAACCATAATAACAACACCAGAACCCACCAGTGGACAACCCCCCCACGAAGTAACTGGGGTGAGACAGCATGTCCAAGTTGGCGATGCCGGCGCTGTGGTGGATAGAGACGCCCTTCGGCTTGCCCGTCGTGCCGCTCGAGAACACGAGTGCCATGCGCTCGTCTCCTGTTAGCTGGGGAGTTTGGCTTCATTTGTTTACTTTATAACCGAATTTGTCATTCAGCTACGATAATTATTAAAATGAATATACTATAAGAATTGTATGGGAGCAAAATTAGCAAAGGAATCACAGACAGTGTTAAATCACACGTAATGAGAATACTCTATATACAGTTGAATGGAGAATGTAAACTACTTCCATGCTAATAAACGAGATGCAGACCAAGTGTAAATGTCACTGACTGAATGTGGTGGCATAAAAATAACGAACACCACAGAACAAGACCTACATTTCTTCGCTTACTCATTATGCATTCTTACACATTATGAACCACAAGTTCCCGAACAGATTGAGGTTTAGACTACAACCTGATCAATCAAGAACATAAAAAAATTATCTTATTATAATTAACAATTATGATAGAAGATACTATATCACTACCCATTATAAGCATTTTGCATACTTTCTTTTGACAGGTTTAAATGAGGGGCGTTAGTTTTGAGCCGTTGGGAGGATAAGTTGTGTGTTTTGAGACGCTCTCTTGTGGCGTTTATTGCCTTCTAAAAAGAGCTTCCAGTTCTATTACCCGTCGGCAATAGTGGCCCTTGAGTGTTAGTTCCCCCACCCGCATGTGTCTAAGAACAGTTGCGGGGTTAGTTCCCCCACCCGCATGTGTCTAAGAACAGTTGCGGGGTCCATAAGGGGCCCAAAGTTCTTCGATACAAGTTCAAGGCTAAAAAAGGCTTGCGGTGGGGTTTCTTAAAGAAAACTAAGCCCTCGCAAGGCTTGCATGTACCGCATGTGCGAATTGGTGAGGGCGCATTTTCAGATTAGCGGCTCTTGTTACTCCATTCAGAATAATTAAATCGAAGCCCTACAGAAATTGCTAGAAAGGATAGAGTGGAGAACATGGAGCATGGACCAGAGGAAATAAATCTCCGCATCTGAGAGCTGTCCACCAATTTTAGCGTCGGGATCTTGCGGAGTTCTTGTAGGGTTGCTGAAGAAAGGCGTTGGCGCGTTAGGCCACAATCATTCGTCAATGGAGATCATTTTTGGGTACCTCATGTTGGGACCAATAAGACCATTTTACACAACTTCCGAATTGCTAGCAATAGACCTGAAAATACTGACCAGTTACCCTAAATTTACAGGTAATAATTTTGCTTCGCTTGTTCTTTGCCAAGAGGATTCACTAGGTTATTAAAGACAACAATCTTCCTGGAGGAAGAGGTTGGCATCAATTTGGTGTTCTTGAAATTAACGAAAGCCTTTGACAAAACGGACCACCGAGTGCTCTTCAGAATGCTGTGGTTGCTGGAGGTCGGAGACGAGCATTCCTGTGGATCCACAACTTGCGGACAGTACGCGTGCTGTCGTAGTTGGAGGCATTAAACCAAGCCAAGTGGGATGGAGTATGGACTGTTCATATCTCTAATTCACATTGCCGTCATAGATAACGAAGTGGACAATATATCGAGGTCATCATTTGCAGACCAAGTTTTGCTTAAAAATGTTAGCAAATCTGTTGCCCTAGTGCAGATGGATGCCTATCGTAGGACTACATTAACTGATGTAGTAGTCATGTGCTCGACAATATATAACGTTAATCGCAAAGTATTTTGGCTTGCGTTGGTAAATACCACTGATGATAGAGATTAGTGATCATTACCATTACTGCATAAGTGCAAGTACTTGGGAAAGAACATAGATATTACAACAACAAGGTAAATAATAATAAATATACATACAACTAAAATTGTCTAGTAGATTTGAATATAAGCTGGATGAATTTTTCGGCGCACCTTGGCCGGATCAGCGAAGTTTATGGTCGCGTCTTGGACAATATCGGCGACGTTAGGGAGGCCATCTGATGGCCCGATGGCCACCATAGGAAGATCCTGTTTGTTGATGGCCATGGCCTTCTTGGCCACCTCCAGCAGCGGCCCAAACACGACCACCATCTTAGCTCCGCTGTCCTTCAGCTGGTGAGCCACCTCGGCTGGTGGAACAAAGCTCTGCGTCACGTGGACAGACTAGTATTTCATCGTTGCTACATAGAAAAGATTCATGTGCCAATATGGTGCACCCCTTAATTTCCTCATCATAATTGATTCCATGCACAGCTTTAATGTATAATAAATGCATGTGCATTATCTCTTTTGCTGCACTTTGACTTGCTAAGTTAGTGGGTTTGAGGTCAGTGAATAGTACATTACAGGCAAATGCCTAATTGCAATACAGTCTGTACTTAGCTCTAATGCCCAATTTATGTTATATGCGCTCAAATATGAACCGTAGACCTACTGGGGCTATAGGTGGGGTTGATGCCAGAGAAGACACACCCAACACTGATGGTGCCCAGCACCACAACAGGGTAGTCGACAGTGTTAGGGCTGAGCACCGCGACCACGCTGCCCCTCTCCAGACCTTTCGTCAGGAGGTAGCCGCCCCACCGAAACGCAGCATCCTTCAGCGCCCCGAAGCTCACGAGACGCCCCGAGTCGCTGCACACCTGCAGGAGATTATGGTCGGGTTATGGGGACCCGAGACGCTGCACACCTGCGGGGGATTATGGTCGGGTTATAGGGGCCCGCAACTCTGCATCCCTCTCCATTATGGCCGGGTTATGGGGACCCAAGACGCTGCATCCCTACGGGGGAATTATGGCCAGGTTAAGGGGACCCAAGACACTGCATCCCATTATGGGTGATCCAAGTTGTCGCACATCCATGGGGAAGGGGAGGAAATTCGTGGTTATGGGTAACCAGATTCACTATGCACTTGTGGCGTCATAAACTGGGTTTGGACGGCCAGAATCGCAGCAGCAGACATAACTGTTAATGAGATTATTTGTATGAAAATATTTGTAGCATTTTACATCACTTTGGCAGCTCCTCTGAAACAATGTTCAAAAAGTTGACGATCTTATTTATAAATGTTTTCCGGACTGTCAATTTTCATGTGTAACTGGTCAATAATTTCTAATAATAATTTATAATTACTTTTTCTCGTATATGAATGATATTTCTTCCCGGATGCTTTCACGTTGTTCATGAATATAATTATTCGCAGCGCCCGTACGTCAGAATGACGTCGCGTAATTCCCATATCTGTGTTGCTGAACGCCGCCTCAGGAGTTATCGTTCTGAACTTCCACTTAATTCCCCTCCGCATTGCCGTCTTGCTAAACAGTGCAACGTTCCTGTGCCGGAGAGCGATTTTACGATTTTGGTTTCCACCTCTAGTGATGCAGGTTTAAGGATGTTGGAATCGCTGCATAATTTAAATGAAAAAGTTGGGGAAATAAAGCCTACATTTATTTTTCTCTGAAAATTTTAGTCGATGTGTTTTTTATTTTCCTTTTTCCGTTTATTCGGTACTTAGATATTATTTTTTGTATGAATTTGGTTTTCTCCGACTGTACTTGTTTGCCTATTGAAATTTGTTAAATTGATAATAGACACAAAAGAAAAAATATTAATAAAGATGTTGTGAATATAAGTACTTGGCGTTGACAATGATTTAATTTTTGGAATAAAAGTCGCATTCATAAGTCGCACAGTGTCATATTTGCTCCTCAATGTTAAGTATAATTTGCGAAATAGGCCAAGGCAATATATTATGATTTAATAATTTCTTTTATTACATTACATTAACAGTCAACATAAGATATGTTCGAATAACTTAGCCTAAAGGTGTCGTAGGAATCACGAATACATTTCATAATAAAAAATATATAACAAATATATTCTTGTCTGAAAAATAATATTTATTCGCAAACTCACAATGGCAGTTTTGTTTTCCCTGCCGCGTGCTCCGCCGATGACATACTCGGCGAAGTTGGTGGCGCTGGTGGCCGGCAAACTGAGTTTGTTGCGAATGATGACGTCCGCTGACGTCGCAATGCATCTGTTGACACGACGGAAAGCGGACGTAAAATTAATGTATTCAATTTAATTATTAATTGTTAAAATATCACACAGGTTTAGTGAGAATTAATTTTCCAATTTGTCTCATTTTATCACGACCCTATACAAGCAGCGAGGTATTTCACCAGCAGTTGTGATTGCTAGACATAATTTGTTCATGAAAGTCTTCTCCCTCAATCAGCAAGGTTTTCTTAATTAATCGTGAATGAAATTAATCGTAAGGCTAAATGAAACATATGAAGAATTGAAAGCGGTCATAAAAATTATTAAGTGGCTCCTTAAAAATGACTCCTCTGGAAGACCATAAAAAATATGAAGGCACATTTTCAAAATTTAAATTATTTTCTATATGTCTGAATACCAGATACTCATTTACAATTTTAACTATTAAAAGAAAACATTCAACTCGTCGAAACACGATGAAAACCTATTGAATAAAACCTATTGAATGATAGAAATACCGTCACCCTGCATATTGAATATAGGTAGGCTAACTATTCAAATTAATATTTGATTATATAATATGAGGAAACTTAATTAGATCAATAAACAAGAGCATCGAAACAAATAATTCTATGGGACATAAATACAAGTAATAAGAAGTGAATCAACATGACTCACCTTACCGCATTCACTAAGGAAGGCAGCACCAGCTGCTGCCTCAACAGCTGGCTCATGGTGCCACATAAACCAGCTTGCATGACGAGACTAAAAGCACAAAACAAAACTCAAAATGCCATCTGTAAACAAAATATATCTAATATTACACAACACGATACAGATTACAGAACACAGGTGTGTTCGAATCAGGGCGCAGGTGCATTGCAACTTTGCAAGCCCTGCCTTATTATTATTAACGGGATTCTTATTGACGACAGAATTCAAGATAATAAGATACTTAAGGGGACCGACCTAGCAAACGGAAAACTTCTACAGTTATTATCCGATTGTCATGAAACTTCACATACATACGTAAAATGTAAAAAAAAAAACATTTTGCTCCTATGAATTTTTCGAAAAAAT